ACGCCTCCCTGGGGAGGTGTTCCAGGTGCGTCCCACCGGGAGGAGACCTCGGGGAAGACCCAGGACACGCTGGAGGGACTATGTCTGGGAACGCCTAGGGGTCCCCCCGGAAGAGCTGGGGAGGTGTGTGTGGATCGGGAAGTCTGGGCGGCTTTGCTAAGGCTGCTGCCTCCACGACCCGACTCCAGATAAGCGGGAGAAGATGGATGGATGGATGGATGGATGGACTTTGATCCCCCCAGAAACCCTCCAGCGCCACCATGAGATTGATGTTTGCACCCATTTCGAATGTTATCATCCAACTCCACAAAATTACGCTTGTGTACAACTAAACTGTATCCTCTGCAGCTACTTTGAAAAAGCCACAAAGTCAACTTTAGGGGGTTGGAGGGGAGGATGGAGGCGTAAACCAGAGACCAGATTATCACCAAGAAGACCAGGGTTTGCTCGATGGACGAGAGACCGTCAGCCCTAGAGTTAAGTTTCATTTCATTTGTTGTTTATTTTTGGTTTTTACTTGCATTCTGGTTAGGTTTAGGCACCAAAACTACATCATCCCTTCATATCACCCTTTGTTGGACATGCTCAAGTGTTAGAAGCTTGGTAAAGGTTCGGCACCAAAACTTCTTGGTTAGAGTTCGCAAAAACGTCACAGTCTGGATTAAAATACGACCCTTTAACTTCATGTTTGAAGCTTCACCTCCATTTCCTGCTGTGATACATTACAAACAAACATACTTCAACAGAAAATAAGTTCCTAACATTACCATACATACGGACTGGTAGAAACCTTCACCACCTTCCAGAAGGCTCAGTAGGCTGTCATCAACCTATACAGTAGCAGTGAAGCCATGATTTTGCACTTACAAAGGGGAACAAAAGTCCACATTTTGAGGTTGGAGGTGGTATCTTAGTTCCAACCAGAGATCTGAGATTCCTACTTCCATCTTGACAACTTCGGAGACTTTCTGAGACCTATTTACACAACAGCAAGAGGCCACGGACATTATTATGGGTTGTTTTCTGCTTTTCAATGATCAGATTGGAGGATAAGCAGCCTTTTTGTCTTCAATACGGCAGCAAAGGCAATGATGTGCAATGACAACTGACATTCGTTGAGGTGATAACATTCAATTGGTTGCTGCTTAGAGTCAAATGTCTCCACAACTGCTAGATGAAACTTCATACACATGTTCATGTCTGAACTGTTTAATCTTGCGCCACCATCACATCTAATATTTATGTTGTAGGTCTTGAGTAAGAACTTGCTAAACTAATTACATTCCCATCAACTTCATGTTAGCTTGCTAATTATTCAGCATTTTTTTAATCCTTGACATTATTTTTCTTTTAAATAACAAATATTTGTACACTTCTTAGTTAAAAAAAAAACAAATGAACACTTGTAAAAATTCTGATTTACATACTTTTATGTTGTAGTTTATGAGTAAAAACCTGCAAAACCAGTCACATTCCCATCAACCTCAGCCCTGTTTAGACATAATTAGCAAATGTGAGCTTGCTAACGTTAATGGTTGAAATTGCAAAGACTTTCCAACACTGCTAATGTGAGTGTTTACCTCAACACACCAGTCTCACAGACCTGTAGATTCAGTCTCATCATGCATAATACTGAAACAAGCTATTTAGCAGTAGATTTCTAAGAAAACCTGAAATTTGTCCTGTTTTAAGTAGAAAAACATCAACCAATATCGTGTTTTGCATCACGAAAAACCTCTTAAGTCCACTGTGAAAAATGCAACAGCCTCATTTTTGCAAAACAATTTTGCTTTTTGGAACTGGATGAAAATGCAGCTCAGACAACATGTTGTGCCGGTTTTGTTAGCCCGCCACATCGCTACCTCTCTGATTTTATGTCTCTCCATCAACAGGTGACCACATGATCCCGTCTCCGAAATACCTCCAAAATAATTCCTCACCACGTGGCTACCGGGGGCAGCAGCAGTATGTCAGCGAGCATGAAAAGTGAAGTGGGATTTCTAAATCAGCCACATCTGTACCCCCCATCCTCCTCCCGTTTCCCCTGGAATCAGACTCGGCCCGGACAATTCATTAGATTTATCACTGACTCATCCACTTATCTGAGCTCGGCATGTAATTTCACTTTCCATCCATCCTACCTGCTCCAACCACAAATTCCCATTTAGTAGCATGTGTCAGCCGGCCAGACTGGAGTCCCACAGGCGGCTGACGCTCTCTTCCAATTTCAGTAAGGCCTATTAAAGCCAGCTAACAAGTCTGCTTGCAATGGATACCTGGCCTGTATTCATCTAAGGGCTGACACACACTGCGACGCTCCAATTTCTGCCTGCATTTGTCTTAATACATCCCAAGAGGTCGGTGCCATACATGCTGTTGCTGCCGATGTAAGTGACAACATCAAGCTGAAGAGTGAAAGGAAGAAACTGGAAAACCGAGGCAAGAGTCAAAAAACTAGGGGTATTAAACAGTTTCCTGAATCGATGTAGACAATCCATTCTAGACTATAGTGGACACTTTTCCATATGCTGATAAAACTGTTTGAAACAACCGACACAGTTGGTTCAGCTACGGACGAAGTAAACACGAGGTTAGCCAGCAAACGCAGTCTTTCACAGTAAATAACGTTATTAATCTCCTCGTGGTTTGATATAGGTCTGATAAAGAGTGACTTGTTTACTGTAGTTAACATTATTCCAGTTTGAATAGACGTCCACAAATACTGCTGCAGCAGCTTTGTCAGTCCAGGAAACCTGTCAGCATCTACATCCACCTCTAACATATATGAAACACTCAGAACAGACCATAAACATTGTTGGAAGTGTGTAGTCAGAGTGAAGACGCAAATTTCAAACAATTTTCGTAACTCGTAGTCGGTGATGTTACCAATAAATAACTGACTAATCACTAAAGTGAATAAACTATCGAGGCTGTTTTTCTTTGTGCTGATGAAGACATTTCTAACGACAGATACTTAACGTTTGACGCAAAATCGGCTCATCTTTATTAGCTACGCAGCTAAAAAAAAAAAAGGTTTCCTGATAGACTTGGGCTTGTTTTCTTCATAAGAACACCAACAGGAAGCGGTGAACTGCTACAGAAGTCTGTCATGGACGCCCATTGCTAGCTAATCTGCACCAAAACAACCATCAAAAACCACCACATCCATTAGCCACAACTAAAAATGCAAACACAACCCAACTAAAACAGCAAACCCAGAATCATTTTTTTGACTATTTGGATTTGAACACTCCCATGGCTCATTGTGTTCGTCCACATGG